TGACGATCAATATTTTGTAATGCATTACTGAAGCAAAAATGTTTATCTCAACAATTTACAACTTAATATTGTGATATTCACATTATATGTTACATAATTAGGGACCATAAGGGGCCAGAATGCAAAATCTTTGACGCTTTATATCTCAAAAGTGGGAAATCTTTTGATAAGCAATATTGAACAAAAGATGTTCAAAATAATGTTCTGAACAATATGCAACCTTTCATTTTTTGCTAAAAGTCCCCATTGAGGAGTTGAAGGGCCGGCCCCTAAATACTTCTTTTGCAAATATCTCAGAAACGAAAAAGAATTTCTGACTAGTTGTTGAACAAAAAGTGTTCAAAATCACGAGAGCTTTAAAGTGATATGAAGAAAAAGGGCTAGTCCCTGAAAATCGGGGCTGAGAAGGGCCGAAAGTCTTTAAACAATAACTCTTTAACGATCAATATATTGTAATGCATTACTGAAGCAAAAATGTTTATCTCAACAATTTACAACTATATATTATGATATTCACATCACATGTTACATAATTAGGGATCAAAAGGGGCCAGAATGCTAAATCTTTGACGCTTTATATCTCAAAAATGGGAAATCTTTTGATAAGCAATATTGAACAAAAGATGTTCAAAATAATGTTCTAAACAATATGCAACCTTTTGATTTTTGCTTAAAGTCCCCATTAAGGAGTTGAAGGGCCAGCCCCTAAATATATCCTTCGCACATATTTCAGAAACGAAAAAGAATTTCTGACTAGTTGTTGAACAAAAAGTGTTCAAAATTATGAGAGCTTTAAGGTGATATCAAGAAAAAGGGTCTGACCCCTTAAATGAGGGGCCGAGAGGGGCCGAAAGTATACAATCAATAACTCTTTAATGATCAATATTTTGTAATATATTACTGAAGCGAAATAGTTCATCTTCACACTCTTTGTCTAAATAACATGATGTTGATATCATATGTTATGCAATAAGGGGTGTTTAGGGGCCAGATTTCATAATCTTTGGCGCAATATATTTGCAAAAGGAAGAATATTTTGATAAACAGTATTGAACAAAAGATGTTCAAAATAATATTCTGAACAATATGCACTCATTCAATTTTTGCTTGACGTCCCCATTTAAGACTTGAAGGGCCGGCCCTTAATATTTCTTTTGCATATATCCCGAAAACAAAAAAGAGTTTCTGACTAGTTGTTGAACAAAAAGTATTCAAAATCATGAGAGCTTTAAGATGATATCATGAAAAAGGGTCTGACCTCTCACATTAGGGCCCAAGAAGGGCCGAAAGTCTTTAATCTTTAACCCTTTAATGATCAATATTTTAATAAACATTACTAAAGCAAAATTGTTCGCCTTAACAATTTATATATATCATTATATTTGAAGGAAAATCTCAGTCAAATTCTTATCTTATCAAAAATCGGACGGAAGATCCACTCGTTGCTCGCAAAGATATCGCATCTAGTATTATTATTTTTGTTTTCTTCACAATTTTTGTGCAGAAGATTTCTCGGAGTTGGCTCGATCGATTTACATGAGAATTTCAGGGAAGATGTATCTTTGCCTGAACCTTATACGTTTTTTCTCATTTTTTTGAAATTCACTTCCGGTCCGAAGTTATCGACCTTTAATCAAAATTCAGAGAACCTCCTTGTCTGCAATGGAATTAAAAAACGATTAAAGCTAGAGTGCTGAAAATTTCAGCGATGATATAGGACATGTTGCCATTGATCACCTGGGTTTTCAAATTTTCCGGAAGTGCTTAGTATGGAAGCTCGGTAGGGATCGAAATTTAGGGAACGAATCATGAGTGAATTTTAGAGACATTTCCTACGATAACTTTTTAACTATGAGTATTTTGTTAAGACATATTAAACAGAAATTGTGTAGAATTACAAGATCTTTTATATGATATGAAAGAAAAAGGGATGACTTATCACATTAGGGGCCGAAAAGGGCCGAAAGTCTTTAATAAATAACTCTTTAACGATCAATATTTTGTAATGCATTACTGAAGCAAAAATGTTTATCCCAACAACTTACAACTATATATTATGAAATTCACATCATATGTTACATAATTAGGGATCAAAAGGGGCCAGAATGCTAAATCTTTGACGCTTTATATCTCAAAAGCGGGAAATATTTTGATAAGCAATGTTGAACAAAAGATGTTCAAAATAATGTTCTAAACAATATGCAACCTTTCATTTTTTGCTAAACGTCCCCATTAGGGATTTGAAGGGCCGGTCCCTAAATACATCCTTCGCACATATCTCAGAAACGAAAAAGAATTTCTGACTAGTTGTTGAACAAAAAGTGTTCAAAATCATGAAAGCTTTAAGGTGATATCAAGAAAAAGGGTCTGACCCCTTAAATGAAGGGCCGAGAGGGGCCGAAAGTATACAATCAATAACTCTTTAATGATCAATATTTTGTAATATATTACTGAAGCGAAATAGTTCATCTTCACACTCTTTGTCTAAATAACATGATGTTGATATCATATAATGGATTTTTACTTTAAGCTACTATCAAAACTGAATTCAAGTGCATGCATGCACGTGTGCTGAAATCTGATTGGCTAATACTTTGAAGGCTTTATTTCTCTTACTTTTCAATATACTTCTTTGAAATTTAAAACATTGATATATATCATAAAGCACGATATGAATATATATGCGAGAAATCTAGAAAATACGAACAAGCACGAATGCTAAATCTGATTGGCTAAGGTTGTTAGTATTTATAACTTTTTTAGTTTTTAAGGAAAGAAGATGAAATTCAGAGTTTATGTATATAATAGAAGTTCCTACATTTTTCAATCATAAGAAATGAATACACGGACATGCATGCACGTGTGCTGATTTCTGATTGGTTTATATTCATGTTACTTTAACTTTCTTTGTTTTCAGTGATATTCTTTGAAATCTAAAATGGAGCTCTTTATTATGGCATTCTATGACATGATATACATAAATATGGTAATTTTCCAAATCATGTGCATGCGCGTGTACTTTAATCAGATTAGCTTATACCCATTGTGCTATATATGCACTGTTAATTCCCCCCAAAATACTTTGGAAAATAAATTGTAAAAGTCCATAATACAAAGTTTTGCTTAATTTAATGAAACTCATAGGGAATGGGGCCCAAAAGGAGTAGGGGGAGCGTTTGGGGAACATCTGTAACGGTCTCCGTTACAATTAGAACTAGTTCCATATATTTCATTAATATAATTAGGGAAGTATGTTATCAAGCTGAACTTGTGTTTTAGGTATGTTATAGCTTAGATTTATTTTCAAACTGAAGCTAATTGGAAGTTAACTTATTTAAATGATTCTATCTTTCTTTCAGTCATACCTTACCATGACAACAATTTTTATCACTACATCTAACTAAAAAAACCGGTTCTTAGGGAAGTTGATTTTGAAAAGCAACCTGCCATAGAAACTTCGTCTCGTATCCTGTTTTTGATCATATTGTGTTTTGGTGGATTTTCTTCCTACTGAATTTGTTTCCTGTGCAGATACCACAGGGCACAGCAAATGTTTTAGCTCCTAAAATTAGAAAGAAAAACAAAAACAAACAAACAAAAACAAAAACAAATGACGAATAATATATAGTTCTAAAATGTGTTTTGGGGATTTTCGTCTAATGTCAGCAATTTCAATCTTTTCACTTATGTTGTGTGGTAATTAGTAAATTACGGAGATGTTTTTAGCAATCCTCCATCATTTAGAGATCTTTCACCAGGAAGTATCAATATAACAATAAAAGTGGTAAATCAACTGATTTTTTCTTCCATAGATATATGTATGACTATTTTCCACCAGAATATTTACTTGAAAAGAACTGTGTTCTGTTTTCACTGTTTGCTGACTCTTAAATTTGTATAATCAAAAATACTTATCATAATAGTATTTTTGTGTTATATAAATTTATATACATATATGGCTTACACATTACACTGACATATCTGGTCAATTTACAGAAGATTTTTTTTTATTCAAACGCGTATCATAAATCCGGAAACTTCTATTTAGAAAGAACAGTCAATGAAGAAAATTGTTTGTAAAAAAATATGAACATTTTAAATCAAAGACATACAATTTTTTGGTTGTTGTTGCATAGAATATTATGCAGGTTATTCCCAGTCAATGGTGATCGAGATTCCAAAACACAAGACTCATTTTGTGTAAAAATAAAAAAAATAAAAAAGGCACCATTCTCTAATGGTAACAGGTAACGGAAGTTAATTTGTTACACGGAAATGTGAATTTGACGACATTACATATATATACCTTATCTTAACATACTCTGATTTCTTCATAATTTGGCTATAAATAAAGATAATGTCAAAATAGCTTAAAATTCAATATAGGCAGATACAATACTTTATATATACACACACACACACACACCCCCCCTCTCACACACACACCTACACACACACACACACCCTCACACACACACACACACACACACACACACACACACACATATATATATATATATATATATATATATATATATATATATATATATATATATATATATATATATATATATATATATATATATATATATATATATATATATATATATATATATATTTCATTTAGATTCTGCATTCTATAATTAAGATTAAAAGTTATCTAATATTTCTGTTCATACAATACAGTAGTATCTTTGTGGCTTCGTTCTTCTGCGAAAAGTGAAACATTGCTGTAAACAGTACACGTTACGGTATGTTACCCGAGTAACAACGTAATTCTGTGACATGTCTACACTATACATGTTACTGTTACGCATAACCCATACTTATTATTGATTCGAGAATAAGAATTCAAAGAAAGGTTACATCATTTCCACTCTGTATTTTCTAACTTCCGCGTGAATATTTCTATATAAATACACTTGAACTTGTAATAAATAAAAATAGAAATCAGTCGCTAGAGTTGTAAAATGACAAGTCTCTGTTTGTTAATTTTCCTTATAGGTAAGGGATGGCTGTGTCTCTGTTTATCTTGCAAGAATACCATCAATCGCTCTGTAGACTGGTAAGCAAACTATTAAGAAAATTTTTAACTATGTCTGTATATTCTTAAGTGTATCAATCCTTGGTGAGTGGTTTTTTGTGTTTTTTAAAACGTATTTTATTTTAAAAAATCAAATACCGTAACTGGAAACAAGTTACAACTTATAAGTTCGTCTCCTTAAATATCACAATTTGTCATGCAAAATAATTGACAGAACTCTGAATTGTACACAAAATACAAGTGGGATTTTGTTAGATATCATAGCAATTTAAAATCTACAGATTTCATCAATAAATATTATATGCTTAGAGTGAGATGACTTCTCTCCTTTAAAAAATCCCATTGTTTCAGAGCATCTGGTATGAAAGATCTTTTGAATATTTCTAATCTGCATCTTGGGACAGTAAATTGTTCTTCATTACGGGTATTGCATTTGATACATTTTCATTTTTTTGGACAATATCACTCAAATATTGAGACAAGACCCAACTGTGAAATGTGAGGTATCATTTTTTTGCGTTATAGCGACTGTATTTTAAAGTTCCTCAACGAGTTTCAAAGTAAAGTGTTTCTTTAAACACAAAAATAATAGGACCTGTGAAAATTCTTGCGGCAGTCAATTGTACTTTTTCAAGCTTTTTGGCATCCTGAATAAAACATCCATCCGAAACAATTGCAGTATTTATTCAAGCGAGGGGTTGTGTCAAATGTAGCATACAATTTTACCACTTTTTAACTTCAGTCTATTCAAAAGCCAATTGTTTTGTTTAGAATTGTTTGCAAAAATAAGGTATTGAAAAAAGTTTTTAAATTCGCACATTTGTGTTTGATACAAGTACATTCATGTAAGATAAAATACCTGTAGAACAACATTAGTTTAAAACACTAATTCTTATTTATAGGAAAAAATGAATGCTCTTCCTACAAACAACCCACACCAAACTGACTTTTATAAATTTCAATCATATATCTTTGACCTTCTTTCAAACAACCTTATTTTAATTAATGGTATGACAAACTCTATTTCCAACAGTAACTTAACGCCTTTGAACATTTGTGTTTCTTCAATAAATACTTACTGACAATATGTGAATTCCAACAACCCTAAACACAACAATTACTTCGCAGAAAAAAAAACAACTTTGAATCCAGTTCATGACACCTTTACTTGTCATTTGATACTCTCATACACAATATGGATTATTCATAATTTAAAAAGATGTGAACAGGATTAAACTGCTGTCAGATGAAGCAAAACGGTGTTGATATCAATTCGGACCAGCTCTAGGTTGTTTACTTCCTCTCGTACTTGTTAATCGCAATTGTTCGTTAGCTTCCTTTATTTCACAAATGTTAGAAAAATAATCAGTTGCTTGTATATATAAAAAAAAATGTTCACAGTGACAGGCATTAAAAATATTTTGTTGAAGGAATGTTGGTCTTTTATTCATTCTTTTCCACCAGGTACTTTTTTGTCGACCCTGACTATTGTAGACATCCAATTAAGATCAACATCTATTTCAATTGTAGGTTTGTTTTGTATAAGCCACCAAGATCACAAACCTCTCCTCCATACAGACAAGGGACTGAGTTTTACTACTATGACTCCAATGGTGATTCCTTTCAGCTCCAGGGTGCTAGCATTCTATCTAGACCAGGAAATCCGCTATACTATACGATTCACCAACGAAATTTCACGGTAGATAGCCTCTATTTTCATGAATGCTTAAATTGAATATATTTAATGAACAATTATTTATAAAACAGAATGTAAATATTGTTATTATCCCAATTTTCTACCTTCTACATACAGTGGCGGCTCGTTAATCTGGGTACCTTCGTTCCGAAAGATAAATTAAGAAACCGGATAAGTGAACCGCTTCGAAAAAAAAAATCCCAATCAAAACGGGTAGACGTACTGGTATCAAATGCGAAGACAAAGAGCAAATGCACCTGTTTACCATTTTATTTCTATAAGTTTGAAAAAAAATACATCTATATATCCAAATTTACATGTTGAAACAAAATGCGGATATTAAATTTTAAGCTGACATATTTTTTCTTAACTCGTCTCCTCTTTGGCAGGTGACTGCATAAAATTGATAAAGTATGATCTGCTACTGTTTTGTTTTTTTGTTTTTTGTTTTTTTTTTTTGCAATATTTGATAATATCGCCAACCCCCCTAACTCCGTCACTACCCTAACTCCCTCACTTTCGAGAAACTCCGCGCTGTTTGTAAACGAATGCAATTGTGACGTCATTTTTAGCATGCTGAAAATCTACAATCAAATGCCGAGATAATGTAACAGTCAAGTTCAAGAATAAGTAAAAAACAAATGACAATTATACTTAATCTATTGTATCTATCATTTTTATGTGAAATTAGTGAGCACGTTTTCCTTCATGCGCTATTCCATCGATATCTCCTACATGTGCGTCAACATGCTCATTTGCACATGTCAGTCATTTTTATGAAGGTCTATGTCAAAGGTTTAACATGACATACCATGTTGAATACGGCTAAAAATATTTTACCTTTTGTCTACATTTGCCCTAATGCACTACACGTTGGAGAGGACGTTAGGGCGACGTTATTACATAAAAAAAAATACGTTATATTAGGCAATCTTTAAGGGAGCCGACTGGGGTTTTATTGTGTGAAAACTACTACAGAGAAACTCTTTAATTTTATACCATATGTACCTTACATTGACTCCTGTATACATGCCAAGTTTAGTGAAAATCTACCGTCTGGTTATTTTTTAAGGACCATCTCAAAATACAGGTACATTTACTATAGGATTATATAGGAAAATACCATTTTTTCGCACTTCGGAGCAAATTATACAAATCATACTACAGACTTTTTGCTCAAATTATGATATATGATGGGTAATACTATATTGTATATTTTGTGCAAGAAACACAAAATTATACCGTCTGGTTTCCAGAGGGGGCATCTCAAAATGTCAAAATTCATGAAATTTTCCTGTTTTTATGGAGTACAACAAAACATGACAGATACCACAGATTTACATAAAAAATTATAAAAATGATTGTTAGATTCTCAATTTCCTATGTTTAAAATTTCAAGAACATATATTTTATACTTTGTATTTTATGGCATAATTTATGACCCCGCTTAAAGAACTTCGGTTATTCATAACGTCAAAAACACACTATTACGACGTCTATCTACCCATCATTTGAAAAATCGTTTGAAAAATCAGTTATTTAAAAACGTAATTAGTTTTTTTAACCTGAGATTTCCTAAATTTGTTAATTTTTATAAATTATGTAAAAATAGTTGCTTTAAAAGAGTAAATTGGCTTTATTTTACTATGTTGCGCGAAGTATTGCGCAATGAAAACCCCAGTCGGCCCCCTTAAAAAATTGTTTGCTTGCCCTCTCCCGACCGACTAACTAAAACCGGCCCGACTCAAAACTTTTCTTTTACCTCTAGGAAACAATTATTTTTTTATTTATTCCGAAGATTTCTCACCTATCAATAACTACTTTAACTTCATATTTGCAAGTGTTTCTGAATGAAAAAATGAAAAAAAAAAAAAAAAAAACCTTCCTATCTACATTTTTTATCCTGAGTCGGGAGAGGGCAAGCAAACAATTTTTTTAAAGATGGCCTAATTATGTATCTTTTTAAACTGTCATATTCAAGGACTGCGCATGCTCTTAAAAATTCACAATTTTATGAAGTAAATTTTTTACAACCTTATTTATTAAAATGTTGAATACAATAAACGTTGTTGCAAGAATATTTTAAACGAAAATTTAGAGCTAAAGTTCAAATGCGGCAAGTCAGAAAGATAAACTAGATCTAATTTAAGGTACACAGGCAAAAGTGGCTTACATAAATTTTATATGAAATTCACATGAATTTCATGTGAATTCTTTGCATGAGAAAGAGACGAAAAACAAGACATGTGAAATTTATATGAAAACTTCAAGCCATTTTGACATAACTTTCATATGAATTTTACATGAAGAGCATATCGCATAAATATCTTGCAAAGAAAACTTCACATGAAAGTTCTAAAAAAATTATTGTGAATATCATACAAACTTATTCACATGATATTTGCATGAAAAAATAAAAATATTTACATAAAAAAAATATTTATATAATTTTTACATGATTATCGCATAATTTTCAGATAAAAAGATAATCACATAAATATTATATAAGCCACTTCTACTTCCCGTTCGAGAATTTTTCACTCATATAGAGACGTAACCACATACAGGTGATGGGCCTCAAATGTAGACTTACACTCGGCTCTCAGGGCCATTGAGCAGTAAGGGATCTTTATCGTGCCAACGCATATCGTGTCTCGGTTTTAAAGGTCTCATCCGAAAGACCCGAAACTTTCATTTTGAAGTGCCGAGCGCTCGGCTAAGGAACGGTTGCTGGCTATTTTTTATCGACTTAGGTCAGTCGTTGTCAGGGCTCAAACCCACGACCTTCCGATTACGGAGAGAGCACTCTTCAGACTGAGCTACCGTGACGGTGTGAGATCGAGAGAGAAAAAAGTGTCTAAAATAGTTTTTTTTTTTAAATAAAGAAAAGCAGACATTTGAATTTTTAGCATAATTATTCGTAAATAACAGGCATATCTATGAGGAATCGTTTGGTTATTGATGCATTCACATTTATCAGTCCAATTAATTGCAATATCGCCAATATAATCTATTTGAAAGAAGTTATTTTTGCGGACTAACTTATGGTTTTCCAAAATATCTATCTCATTGTGTGTTCATAAAAAATGAAAAATAGTGTGCATTTTAGTTTTATTCACTGATATCCATCCAGTTCGGTTTCATAGTTTCATTGAAGATGAAAGAGTTATTTTCAATTTTGCAGTAGAAATTGACCATCCAGATGCGGAATGCAAATTTCCAAGATTAATGAGATAGGGCCACGTGGAAAAAATCGCTTTCAAAATAAATCATCCGAAAGGCGAAGCGTCTGGATTAACGCACCCCACTATATAGAGGATATTCAATGTTTTGTAGTTGAATATGGAATTTATTTTACGAGTGGGACAGGATTTGGTGATATTTTCACGAGTGCGAAGCATATTCAACTACAAAATATTGAATTTTCTGTTTATTATATTTTCTTGACCTCTGTCTTTTTGTAACACAGTTTCTTAGGCTTTGACGTTATAGTTGAGCGATTCAGAATATCCTATAGCTTATAGCTAAGCAATTGTGAAAACTGAAAACATGGATTTCAAAAACATATTTTGAGAAACTTTTGCAGCTTCAGTCTCTGTCAGCATGGTTTATTTGCTTAAAATGTTCTTATTACACGGAAAAAATGTAGAGGTTTACAAAGAAATGCTCTTGAAAAGTAACAGATTATTTTCCAAATTTAAAACCACTCGTGAATGACAAAATAAAGATGTTTTAAGACAAAGTAATTTACAAAAATATATATCTTTATTGAACAAATCGGGATTTTTTCACTGTAAAAGATTAAAATTTTTGTTCCTTTTTTTTTCATTCACATCATTTTAGATAAATAGTTTGAAAAACAGACAAAGACAATTGATATTTAAGTTAAATCATAAAAAAGAATACATTATTTTACCCTATATCTTTTATTTTTGATAATAAAATACATGAAGATGATGTACGAGGGTTGTTCGGAAAGTTGCGGAATTCTGTCATAACTTTTTTACTTATATACATATTATGTCCAAATTTGGTAGAAATATTTCAACAATAAATTCTTAAGATGTGAAATATTTTTTTTTTTAAAAGATCCTGATTTATTTCAAACTTCTTTAGAGTTAAAAAATGCGAAGATCGGATCGCGGAGCAGGTCAAAATTTCGTAATTTACAATCAATTCACTAAATAATGTCTGTAGTCATATCATCTGCAAAATGGCGCAAGATCGGAAAAATCCTAGACGTTTAAATAAGAACTGTTACATTGTTTCATAATCCAAATTATGACTTAATATTTTGCTTCGTTGAAAAGAAATCAATTTCAGAAGATAGGCAGTCCTCGATGAAAACGGAAAATATGACCTTGTAATTAACGTCACGGAGCAGCAGTTAACGATAATTTTGTGTTGTACTCTGGAAAACTCCAGGGAAAAAAACTCTGAAAATGCTGGAGAAAGCAGAAAATAAGTCAAAAGCGAGCCATGCATCTGTGTGTACATGGCAGAGGCGGTATTGGAATGTTGAGATTCTGTATCAGACGAGGACGATCTGTGAAAAACGGATTATCTGTAAATATCTGATCAAAAACTTAAAAAAGTTAGTAAGGTCGTGGTAAGAATTAGCTGCTTCACAGTTGCTGATCTTGTCAAAGCACAGTCACACAGTAAAAGAAATATAACACTGACAAAGAAAACTAGATGCTGTCGTAAGACAGTAATACCAGCACTAAGGTGTTTGTCTCTAAATGCACACTCCTTCATAATTGTGTAACCAGGGAATAATCCACAATAATTCTATAATTTAAATCAAGCATAAAATGCTCAGGTGAACATGTGGCCTTTGTGGCCTTTCACTAAATTCATTACCAGTCTGATATTACAGATATTTAATGATGTAAATTATGTTTAGGAGAGAATTTTTGAAAGGTTTTTGTTTTAAAAATGGGGGGCTGGGTGGGAGGGGGGGTGCGTAAATTTTGGCCCATGATTGGAACTTGTTGGGTTTA